ACCGTTAACTATAGTATCCGAAGTGATCGTGAGAATTTGTTCATCTCCCGGCGAAATGAAACAATCAGCGGCAGCAACGAAACGGAAGCTGTATGGATCGACATCGGATGAACTCTCAGTAGCTGACATTTCAGTTACTCGCTGACGACACGATATGAAAGCTGATGCGGAAGAAAGAAAGTCCCATCCTAAAATTACTGTGTGAGTGCACCAAGGAAGTACAAGAAACTGAATGTGGTGAAGGATGCCATCTATAAAAACGCGGACTGTGCAAACACTTGAAAGCTGAATAGGGACTCCATCTGCGCAACGAAGGGGAGGGCCATCGTATGGCGTCCTAACTTTTTTAAAGTGGGCACAAAAGTCTGCACGAATTACGGAAAGTGATGCGCCTGTATCTACCAGTGCCTCTGTCTGTATACCTTCAACGTACATTAATAAAACACTCGATGGGCGATCCGGAGGAGTTTGACGCAGTTCGAAAGATGCAGCTTTCCCTCCAGAAGCTGCACTCTTTAGTTTTCTAGTTGGAGGTCAGGAATTGAAGTAGAAGGTACGAGAGGAGAAGAGGAACGCCGCATCGGTGAAGGTTAGCGATGACGTGAGAAACGGGAACTGCCAACTGAGCCAAAGTTCTGCGGAGATGGCGACCGACGTGTGCTGTTCGGATACAGCCGGCGATAGGGTGGTCCAGTGATGTAGAAGTCGTCCAGTTCAAAGTTATCGTAGCTTCGTCTTCCGTCTCGCTGACGGCATCGGCAAAACCTTGAATTGTGACCACGGATGCCGCAATAGAAGCAAGTCAGCCGCGAAGTGCGCCTGTCGTTGTAAGGCTGGGAAGATGGTCGCGGTGCGAGTGAGTAGAGCGAACCATGCAATTCGGCCTCTGGCACCTGCACCGCTGGGGTACAGGTGTCCCAGCAGCAACTTGGGCATAAGTTGGCATGGCCACAGGATATGACCTCGGAACTGGTGAGATTGTCATCGAGGCCAGGCTTTGCTGGGGCGCAGGTGTCGTTGCAGCAACGTCAGCATAACTTGGAATGGGCATGGGATGTGAACTCGGAACTGGTGTACCTGTGATCAATGCCAGTTCCTCCCTCATGACGTCGCGTAAACTAGTAGCAGGTGGCGTCGTTCGGATATAAAGGGGGCGAGGTGAAGCCTGTGCATGAAGTTCCTCGCGGATGATAGAGCGGATCAATGCACGCAGCTCTGTTGTGTCATGACTCGAGCTGAGATTAGGCATATCAGGTTGCACCCGAGTGGTTTGAAGCTCCTCGAGGCGCTGACAGGTAGCTACAACATCGGCGACGGTCTGAGTATTCTGCACCACAAGCGCATTAAAAGCGACAGTCGCAATGCCTTTTAGCAGGTGGCGCACACGGTCGTTTTCCGCCATATCGTTGTCGATGCGGCGGCAAAGGGCGAGAACATCTTCAATGTAAGAAGTGTAAGACTCGCCGGGGCGTTGAACACGTGCACCAAGCCTTTTCTTGGCGATATCCGAGCGCACAGACGGGTTGGCGAAAATCTGGTGGAGCTGGCGCGTAAAGCGGGCCATGTCAAAAAATCTGTAGCGTGGTTTAAAAACCACGTTTTTGCGACGCCGCTCAAGTAGAATGCAACGTGGGTGAGTTTCGCAGGCTCATCCCAGTTGTTGATGGCACTCATGCGCTCGTACTCCTCGAGCCAGTCTTCCACGTCCTCACCCGGAAGCCCTGCGAACAGCGGAGGATCCTTTTGAGGGCTGGTGACCAGGGGAGAAGGGTTTCTTGGCGGTGGGAGAGGTGGCGCAGCTGCTGCGCTGGGCTGATCGGCTTGCGACATTACCGAACCCAGGTCGTTTGAGCGGCGGCCTGAACTGAGCTCCAGGGATGTGTTCTAGAAGACACTGGGGTTGTCCGAGAGAGCGAGAGGACGCAGGAATCGGGCAGCACTCTCCACCACTTGTAAGATGGCGTCCAGTACCCTCAAGACTCTCCTTTATTGTCTCCAGTATGTGCCCCACAACCTAAGCTTGACTAGTGATGATGAGTATGTACAGATAAAAAGATGGGACGCACGCTTAAACAATGCTCACAATATATATATATATATATATATATATATATATATATATATATATATATATATATATATATATATATATATTAGGGGAAAGAAGTGTATCTTTAAGGGCTCGTTTTTCCGTGTTTAACACAATATTAATGATATCTAACAGACAGTAATGCCAAGGAATGTACTGGGGAAGTTATTAGAACCAATGGAATGCAAATAAGAAGAAAGAAAATTGGATGAAAAAATAACCAGCCGTGAGCACGAATTGAACCTACGACCTTCGAATAACGCGTTCGATGCTCCAACCACTGAGCAACCACAGCGGCCTTCCCTCCATCCACTTTTTTGGGCCTATATGTGAATTCAGAAGTAGGAGTGACAGTCAGCGCCATCTATAAGCCAAACGACGAGTGTGAAAACACTCTTACGCGCATGTGTGGCGTCACGCAGCACGTGAACTCATTATGAGCGGGCAGCTAACCAATTGTCCCCCTTATACAACCTAAACACACCAAGTCTGCCAGTACGAGACCCTCGTTCATAGAAATAAGGGAAAGAAAGTAATACCTAAGGGCTCGTTTTTCCGTGTTTTAACACAATATAATACGCTCATAATGAATTCACGTGCTGCGTGACGCGAAACATGCGCATAAGAGTGTTTTCACGCTCGTCGTTTGGCTTATAGATGGCGCTGACTGTCACTCCTACTTCTGAATTCACATATAGGCCCAAAAAGTGGATGGAGGTACGACCCCTGTGATAGCTCAGTGGTTGGAGCATCGAACGCGTCATTCGAAGGTTGTAGGTTCGGTTCCAGCTCATGGCTGGTTATTTTTTCATCCACTTTTCTTTCTTCTTATTTGCATTCCATTGGTTGTAATACCTTCCCCAGTACATTCCTTGGCATTACTGTCTGTTAAATCTCATATATATATATATATATATATATATATATATATATATATATATATATATATATATATATATATATATATATATATATATATATATATATATATATATATATATATATATTTATTTATTTATTTATTTATTTATTCATGAGATATGGCACAACGGGAGCGTTGTCAACAAGGATAAATATATTTATCCTTGTTGACAACGCTCCCGTTGTGCCATATCTCGTACCTTCACGAACACTAACTTAACTGGCCCATCGAATTATTACTCCCACTATATATATACATACATACATATATATATATATATATATATATATGTATATATATATATATATATATATATATATATATATATATATATATATATATATATATATATATATATATATATATATATATATTAGAAAACTTGATTGCCACACAGTATGGAAGGCTTCGATTCTTGTTGGAGACACTGACATTTATTAGTTACATTCGCTGGGTGAACGCTGTCTAAGTCAGCTATTATTTTACGCTCAAGTGTTAATATTACCCATGTGTGTTCTCACCGTTCCTAGGTAGATATAAAATGTGCATCACCCGTGGCACATACTCGCATACCAGCGGCACATATCTGGTCCCAGCAATGTGGCACTGCATTTTGGGAAACGGTTCACGATGTACGCGACAACTACGTGACAAAATTCGTGTCTGGACCACCGCGTTTTACTCGTCACACCATCTTACTCTCGCGCACCAATTTTGGTTCATCCTAAGTTAACGGGGGATATCACACGAGCACCCAGACAAGCGCATAGATAGATAGATAGATAGATAGATAGATAGATAGTAGATAGATATAGATAGATAGATAGATAGATAGATAGATAGATAGATAGATAGATAGATAGATAGATAGATAGATAGATAGATAGATTGATTGATAGATTGATTGATAGATTGGTTGATAGATAGATAGATAGATAGATAGATAGATAGATAGATAGATAGATAGATAGATAGATAGATAGATAGATAGATAGATAGATAGATAGATAGATAGATAGATAGATAGATAGATAGATAGATAGATAGATAGATAGATAGGTTGAAAGATTGGTAGATTGATAGATTGAGAGATAGATTGATAGATTGGTTGATAGATTGGTAGATTGATAGATTGATAGATAGATAGTTTTTAAAACAGATATGGTTAGCAGCTTTCGTTCTGAGCTATTGCACCCTCACGAATGGCAAACACAATGTACTGTTCTGTGTTATCGAAATAGCGTTATAGAGTTCATTTCGCAGAAATGCAGGTGTCGATGACGGCGTCAGCGTCCACATTGTTGGTTGTGAGTGAAAAATGACCTCGTGCATGACCGAAAATCGAGAAAGCTGCAAATAAAGTTTTTAAAATATCTAGGTAGGAGTTGGGATGGAACCGGGGTCGTTTGCGTAGCAACCTGCGTGTTGTACCAAAGAAGCACGCATCTGCTTGAAAATACAGCGAAAATAACTTGGTCTTCTTGGAAATACAAGGAAAGTAACTTGCATCTTTGAAACGTAGGCGTGTATACACGCTTCCCAATGCAACATGTAATATTGCTGTAAATATGCGTTCTACAAGCGTACAATGTGATCAGGTGTCAGAGCATGTGATTATCATTATTTCATGGTTTAAAGCGGGCCACGCATTGGGAAAGGGACAAACCTAATGGCGCGTATTTACTTAAGACCGTGCATGCCAAGTTCAAAAAGATTTCACGCGTACAATTGCCTGTAGTAAGAAGCATGCTACCCATTACAGTGAATGCAGCTATATGCGAAAGCTTCACTGACACAAGCCATTTTAAACTGGGCGCGCACTGGGTACGGTGTAACGTTATCGCGTTCTATTCTTAAAGGCAAAGCTTAAGGATCCCCGCATTTTTTCCTGTTCTTTCGGCACAGCGGCGCCAGAACCGACATCAAGTGGGTCCCCGATAAGCACAACGGAGATAAATACCGACATTAGCAAGAGTACTACTGGTGTAGATCCACCGACGTTTTCATCACCGCCTACTCATCCCGTACCTCCAACAGTGACACGTCCCCTAACGCGTGCGCCTCCCCCACGCACACCTCCTCCTACGACAATGTCACCACCTGTTCCACCTCCTCTGCCTACTCGGGCTACCCGGCCCCCACTGCCTCCACCTCCTCCTACTACTCGGGCTACCCAGCGACCACTGCCTCCTGTTACCACACCACCTTCACCTCCTCCGCCTTCTCCGACTACCCGGTCGACAATGCCTCCTGCTACCACACCACCTCCACCTCCTCCGGCTACTCCGACTACCCGGTCCACACTGCCTCCTGCTACCACACAACCTCCTCCGCCTACTCCGACTACCCGGTTGACACTGCCTCCTATGCCCACGCCACCGCCTGTACGTCCGACGCCTCCACCGATTCCCCCACCGTCACCTGCACCTACACCCCCTACAACAACACTGCCTCCTGTTCCAACCACGTCTTCGCCGCCTCCTACTTTTCCCACTCCTAAGGCTACGACATCTACCTCTCCTCCTATCATTACCAGTGAGTGTATTTCTGTGGCTTTGCGTAGCTTTTCTTAGAAACGAGAATGAATGTATCACATGTATGCAAGTACGACATTAAACACCTCGAGCATCCGCAAAATAGTTCATAAGTGGCATAAACCGTTTGGTGACTTATATGCTATCTCCGCCTCAATAGTTCGCTTTCTGCGCTACATGTAATTGGAAAGTACACATTGGTGCTAACGTATCGCAGGTCAAGGTTGTTAAAATGGAAAGAAAGCAAGCAGCAGTTTGTTCAGACAATATGAAATAAAAGGAGGAGAACATCACACCATGAAAGCAGTGCACAGGTGGAGCCAGGTTACGGAAATCTAAGACACAGTAATAACTTTTTTACAACTTTTTGAGGGGGAGTTTGGACTTTCATTGAGCCCTCATGGTGAGGCCAGCCGGCAAATCGAGATATGGGTAGGAAAGAGGTGAGGCTTTGCGTGCAGAGAGAAGCAGTACTGTATAATGAAAAATAGTGCACAAAACTTTATTAGAAATCATGTTTGTCTTATGCCGAGAGAGCTTCTCTACAGTCGAGATAGGGACTTCGTAGCGGGGATAGGAAGTGGCAAGGAGAGCCGGGGAGGGGGGGGGGGGGACGTGTGACGTCGTGTTGGAGGGCGCATCGTGGTGCCCCATGAGCCGCATTCGGCCCATGGTCCGGTGGTTCCGGACTCCGACTTTTTACCCTGCACACCTGGTGAGAATCGAGCTCGATGCGTGATAAACAGATATTGCTTCGAGGCGAGAAAATTTCACACACACTGTCAATGAGTAGCAGACCGGCAAATGTGCGTTTACGCTCCTTACACTCAAACCCCAAAGCCGAGCGATACAGATCACTATGAGCGTCTGCGTTGCTAAGAAGTTGCATGCATTTCATGTTTAGTGGCATTAACATTGACAGACAAAAAATACACTGGACAAGCGTGCAGTCAGCGAAATATACTACAAGAGAGAATAAGGACCCCATCATGTTCATTGCAAGTAAGATATTTGAGCGGTGTGGAAGATGAGTAAGATTATTAATGTTTTTTTTTCATCCCCAGAGGTATACATACAGGAATGTTCTGCTTTGCCCGTTTGAGATATTTCACGAGTGAAGTTGTAGTATGTCCAGGGATCATCTCGTTTAGGTCTTTCCTCGCGTAAGCTTCCGTTCACTGCTATCATCCTATTCCTTCAAAACTTCTTTTGACAGCGATTATAAGAAAGATGCCTGGCTCGACAGAGTATTCTGCCGGTTAGTTACCTTGAACGTCTCAGACAATGATGACATGCCAGCTCATCGTAAAGTAACGCGGTAAATAGTCCTTGCTATCAAAGTTGTAGACGTTTATTACTAGGTTTCCTGAAATTTATTCATTACTATTCGACGCCATAACAATGTTTGAGTAGGTATCGGTTCATCTTGAGTTTATAGAGCGCACGAAAAACAGGGCTAAAGGAATAACTATACATATACGCAATTTGTAAATTATTCGGTTACTAGCTACAGATATATGTAAAATATTGAGGAATTTAGTTAATCCTTTTCTTTTTCTCGCGTCGTTTGATGAGACTTCGCATTCGTAGATAGCAATGAAGTTCAATGCGTCAGTCCGTTGAGGCTCGTCTATGCGGTGCATTCAGTAGCGTACATCATTTATCGCAGAGAACAGTGAACCATTGCACCTCTACACGACAAGATAGCATCATACTATTTAGCCGATTTTCAGGAACGATGCAACTTGGGACCTGACTTTGTCGTACACTTTCACTGTCCGCTGTCATGGTGTGAATAAAACTGTTGCTATTGTCGGAGCAAGTGCATATGTTGTGATCACGACTGAAAATTCTCAGGCAAAAGTCATATCAAACCTTTAAAACACTCCTGAAATGTGCTAAATATGAAGTATAATAACAAAGAAAGGCACCATGCACCCGGATATAGCTAATCTTGCCATCATTAAATTTGAAGGATGTGCACAGTGGGATCTGAAAGATGTCGTACCTAACAGTTCTTCAATCAGAAACTCTAAAGAAACGTTTTTGTAAGAGCTTGAGTCGGAGCTTTTAGAAGTCCTGAGAATGTCCATCTCAAAGGCAGGACATGCGTGTGTATGCTGCGATCACGATTACGTAACAGAGTACAAGCACAGACCCTTTATGCTAATCGGCGACTTCATCGTATACATTATGGACCGCGACTGGCTTCGCAATATATGGAGTATCGCTGCGCTCTGCAATGCACTTCATATGATTGGAAACAACAAACAACCATCCTAGAAACATGCATAAACCTTGTTTTTGCCATCTTTTGGTTAGGTGAACTCGAGAAACGGTTGGCTCTAATTTTCACAGACCACAAAGCAGTAACAAGTATTTGAAAATGTAATCCAGATCTCAAGGCTATATGGGAATTATAACGAGAAGAGCAAGATCGATGAGCAGTAAGATGAACCAGGCAAGTACATTTGTATATATATAAACTCTTTGTCACTCAGTTTACATTAGCAGTGGCAACGTGCGGGTTACGTATGGTGACGCACTGCTATACGACACCGAGTGCTTCGCCGCTAGTGATGAATCGCGTTAGTGAAGATAGGTGGTTTTTATCATGCCATCTAAGTGAAGCATACCTGTTTTGCATTTGTCCATCAGGTCACGCAATGGGCAAGACTCCGCTGTTTTGCACGTTTGGCGTCCACAAGCTGGACTACAAGTCGATCAACTTCAAACCCTGTGACTACGCCTTTATCCCCTTTTATGTTCGCGGTGGAGACACGTTCACTGACGACAGCAACGCGATCATCAAGGAGTTGATCAACGCGGCGAGCACCTCGACAAGGACGTCTTTTGCTATCAGCTTTCCGAACGAGCAAGTCGTTTGCCCTTTTACATTTCACACACTTCATACTGACCTAAATATTATAGCTAATTGGTGCAATAACTAGGAAACGTAACCGTATAATAAAAATGTAAGACAATGCACGTACAAGAACTAACTCGATTCATAACGCCTACCATCTGAACAACGTCCCCTTAGATTCCGTCTTGTCTTATAAATATCTTGGCGTGCACATCACAAATGACATAAGTTGGACAACTCATGTAGGGTACGTAATCAACAATGCTAATCGCATGCTCAGATACTTACGACCTAACTTCTCCAAAGCAGCCTCTTCCTTGAAACTAATACTCTATAAGTCTCTCATACGCCCTAAACTCGAGTATGCATCTGTCATGTGGGATCCCAGTCATGCTAACCTCATCAGCTCTCTTGAACTAGTACAAAATAACTTTGCTAGGTTCATCCTCTCTAACTACAACCACACTGCAAGTATAACTTCAATGAAAAATAACTGATCACTTATTTCATTGGCTGACCGCCGAAAAATTGCCCGTATCTCCCTGTTTCATAAAATTTCTTATCACCCGACACTTCATTGACCTCATACTCCGGCCTCTGTACATCTCAAACCGTGTTGATTGTCGCAATAAGGTAGGAATCCCATCATGTCACACTAAGACTTTTTTTTTGGTCATTTATTCCCCGCACATATCATGATTAGGACCACCTTCCCTCGAACGTCTCAGCCATCACTGACTTCAAACTTTTTCACGAAACATTAGCTAACATTGTATAACCAGGAAAATCTGTTACCTATACTTATTCCCTCTGTGCATTTTTATATTTTCTAAATAACGTTTTTTATATTCTGCAGAAATGTTGATGTTATCTAAGTCTTTTATTGTATTGTTTTATTTGTATATATTGCACTGTTTTATATGTATTTTTGTGTATTTACCCACTCCCCCTTCAATGCCCTTTGGCCCTAAGGCTAATATAAATAATAATAAAAATTTCCATAGACTATATATCTTACTGTAGGAGGTGTTGTCAGTGGCTATATTGATAACGAAGACCGATTGGACGATCAGGAACCTTTTAAGGTGTCTCGAAATGATCAAAAAGAAGTGATATAGACAATTTTTACGGTAACACATCAAACAGAACCATCATACTGGGTCAAAGAACTCGGACATGCGCTGCATCGGCATCCTGCATTTAATGACCGAGGTCATTGTTACGGTTAACGCCTACATCTTCAGTTCTATGCGCACGTTATCAATATATTCGCAAGCAGGGTTGCCAGATATTGCTACTTTGCAGCCATTTGGCTACTTTTTTAGGCGGTTGGCTAAATTTGAGCTACTTTTATGTTGCCTCAATTTTCGCCAGCTCATATACATCTCCATACGTAGCTCCCGCTTTCGATCGAGTATGTGGAAAATGGCATGGAAAATTCAATTTCACCCTTGCATGACACAAAAAGCACGTTGGTATACGCGTCAGGCGCATCGTGAAAAATGGTCTCCCAATGGCATGAGTTAGCACACGTAGGACTATTGAAGGGCATATTCTCCAACTGATTGGAAGTAAACATGGCATGACGTGGATTAACGCTTGTACTCATGTCTATTCACACGTATCCTAAAGCATATTTGTCCATGCATTGTTTCAATATTTATAGATAAGATACAAGAATTACATAGGGCGGTTACTCGACATCCTTACTCAATTTCTTTGCGGGCAGTTCTTCATCAAAATATATCTTACGGTGTCATACTTGCGTAGAAAAATGACCTGATTTGCGAGCACTCGAACTTAGTACTCGGAAGTACTATATCAAACGCAGGTAAGGGCACCAACTACATGAGATATTGGTGTTATACAGAACATTGGCATCCTGGTCGAAAAATATAATTTAGGCTAACGGACTCATGAGTTTGCTCGCTCGCATTCACTTGGGCTCAGTCCGAGTGTAGGATGTGATTTTAGGAGTGAGTTCGGGTGAGTAATATTTTAGTGCGTTTGAGTCGGCGTGAGCCCAAAGCACCAAATGTATTTCATGAGTGAGTCTAAGTGAGTTCCACTGGTTTTTATGACCTATGGTCACCACGCATG